AAGCAGACGTTCCCGGTGCTTCTCTGAGTGGTCGTAAGCCAAGGGATCTGCACGTACCAGAGTTGAAAAGGTGGCTGGCGTGCCGTGGTGCGTCATGCTTTTTGGCTTCTCAGTAGGTCTTTTCTTTCACTTCTGAGCTCAGCCCCCTCCCTCACACACCACCACAAAATGCATCTGCACACATAATTATATCCGCACTAACACACCACCACAAAATGCATCCGCACACAAATATCCAGACAAACAATGGCTATGCTGCTGTGTCTGCGCTGTTCATATACTGTATATCATAATAATACATCACTCCGTATCTGTCTTTTCATGAAATGTTATACGATACTGTGACTCCACCGAATTATCTGCATGTATTTTTTTAGTACTAGTAAATACTTGGCTAAAATTCCCAAGCTCAGCTGCAGCTGTGTATAGTAATACAACTGTCTGATGAGTGTTATTTTCAATCACGAAGTTCTGAGTATCAAAAAAGAAAGACTTGCTTGTGTCATTGCCTTGTGAGAATTGTATTTTTAGTACATATATACAGAAGTACCCATCGCAGCAAGTACCGGCACGACAGAGTAAACGTTCGTCAATAAGTTCAAATGCATATACATGTATCAGCCATAAGCTGTACTATTATGCAAACAAGTTGTGATGATAGTGTCCGGATGAAGTTTTTATGCCACCAACGAGCCCTGGAAATTAGTCAACATTGCGCACACGTAAATAAGCTGGTCTAGAATGTCAAACATAGTATTATCAACTTCCTTGCCAACGATCTCAAAGCACTTGATCCTCTGCATTTTCCTTTCTACATGAATCCGTACAGCAGCAATTTTCTTTGTACTTGCAAGATCTTGAGGGGTCATTTGGCGTCCTCCTTGGCGAAATGGGGGGATGTTCAGGCGGACCCCATGGCTAACAAGAAGATCTTGTATGTCAAAACCTTTGTCTGCCATAATGGAATCGCCATGCTCTAATAAACTGATTAGGCCGCTCTGTTCTGTGATGGCACGATCCGACACAGATCCTTCGAATACTTTCGAAACAAATGTCACATGGCCATGCGGTGCAATGCCGATAAGGCATTTTACCGTGTTGTGGTTCTTGTACGCCGACCACGTAGCACTCTGCCGCGCCAGCGATGATGGGATGTTAATGAAAAACTCTGTGCAGTCAATCACAACGCGAGTTGTTGCATACCACTGCTTGAATGCAGGTGGCATCAATTTGTCTATTCTTCTCCTTGAAAGCCAAGATGGAAGTTGACGAAACTTATGGTACATTAAATTTACCCAGGTTGTGACAGTGCGCGAGACAGTGGATGGGTGGACTTTAAACCGGTCGGCAAGGTCAACTTCTTTCAGTCCAAGACGAAGACGGACGAGGACGAGAAAGAACTGCTCCATCAGCTCTAGCTTCGGTTTACTGCCTGGTTTGCTGCCGTGTTGCATCGCGTCATCAGGTGCCGTCCGTGAACCCATCCACGTCCGCATCACCTTGGCGGAATCGTGCAGAAAGTTGAAGCATGCCATGAACATAAGGAACGATGAAAATCCAGTGTAGAAAGACAATAATTTCTGGTCATTTTTTACTCTGTGGATAGAGAACACATGTCTCTCTGCAGCATTTAACTTGGCTTCCATGTCCTCTGTGGCCAAGCAACGACTTTTGAGGACCTCGTTCTCACTCTTGAGCAAATCCACTTCTGCTCTCAGCATTTCAACACATTCACAGTGCTGGTGTTCAACTGGTACTACATATACGTCTGGGGAGTCATCTGCAGAAGGGACAACATCAGTGGCAGTTGCAGACTGGGTGATGGCAATGGAGGCGCCTTGAGCTGATGGCTTTGGCTTCTTTGCCGATGGCAGCGCGTGTCTTTCTGCTGGTGGCTTGCGCTTAGTCACTTCAGGGCGAAAATCGAAAATCGTAGGTACGGCATTTGGCAGAAGCCTTCGGCGAGTCTGTTGTGACTTCTTCTGCTCGGACGGTCGCTTGTGTGCTCCTGCGTGATATACCTCATCCGCGAAGTGCCGAGAACACACTTTCGTGTGCTTCGTGATGGTGAAAGCGGCTCCTACATCCCTATGAATGTTGGCGATCCAACGCTTTCTCAGGTCTTTGTCTTCAGGAAAACTGTGGAATGCGACTGCATCGTCTCCAGGTTTTCCGCTGTTGGAAACACACTGCGGGACACAGCAGTGATGAGGCATACTGTCGACAGGCTTGTACAGGATACAGATCCACGCAGAACTACAGCACGCTGTCAAAATACGACCAACCTATCAAACAAAATCAAACCACTTCAGCTTCTTCTCCACCTCGAGTCATGTCAAGGACACCCATTAGGTTTGAAAATGACCGTTACGCGATGATGTCATCGTCTAACGCGCAAAAGGACTATTCACGGACTCACGGAGTCACCACTAGTTGCACTACTCGTTCTGGGTAGATCTACGGGCGTAGCGAAAAAACCTAGTCCTGGATTTACTTTTCTGTTTTAAATTATGTATCTACATGTATGTCATTCGGATCTTCCCAAGTTGTACATTGTACTGTTGAGATTCCGAATTCAAATAAATCAATACCATACCATTTTGGAATTGGAGTTGGCGGTACGGTGATGAAATGGCTCGTTACCTACCTTACAAACCGGACACAACAAGTCCGCATTAGTAGCGAACTGAGCAACATCACAGTAGGCACAAGTGGAGTACCCGAAGGATCTGTATTGGGGCCCATCTTGTTCAATATCTACACCCGAGCGGTAGCTGCAGTAGCTCACCCGACCCCTAGTATACATTTTGCTGACGATATTGCACTATACCAAAGTGGTCCCAACAAGGCAACCACATACGGAGCTTACTCTGTAGTGCCTTTTCGGTGTACAGGCATGTACCGTACATGTAACTTTAAAGTAAGTATGGTCATGTACATGTACTACATGTACATTTACCTGTAGTGTCTGGTGTTCCACAGGGGTCCATACTGGGTCCACTCCTTTTCCTAACTTATGTGAACGATCTGCCCTCTCTAGTTCCAGACGTCAGCCTTTTTGCTGATGATACTGCACTGTTGTGCTCTGACAGCTCGCCGTCCAACCTCGTTACCTCCATGCAGACCGGCATTAACCCTTTATGGGTCTCACATAAGCGTAAGGGTCGTATGTGACCCTTACGGTAAAATCGCATTTTCTGAGAGTTTTGTTGCTAGGAGACAACTAAAATGATGCTCCACGCGTAGCTGAGGTTCAAGGCTTTCCAACGGTGTAAAAAACAACCATACTTACCATACAATTTTTTGCAGTATCGATCGACTGAAGTCTGGTGAAATTGGAAAAGACGACCATTCGCCATGCGCGCATTTCGAGAATGGGAGTGCGTCTCGTAAGGCCGTGTCAGAAAAGCTTTTCTGAGGACACTGACGGAACCAGTCTAGGCTGGATGTCCCTGGAGGATTTCCAGTGTAATGTGGTGAGAAAGAGAGCCGCGTTGAGGGCTCCTAGCTCAAATAAATCGTCCCCGAATGAAGAAATCAAATTTACCAACCAGCGAGGAAGCACAGCAACAGCAACTCTTACAAGGTCTTGTCAGGTGCGATCAGCTGATTCGCCTGGCCGTGAGAATCACGGCATGCGTGACATCGCACCTGAGCACTCAGCTGAGCGAGAGTGAATCTGACGCGAGCGGCGCTGAGGTGAACGAACCAAAATTGTGATATTAGAGAGGTTTTGCAGAGCGAAAGTTCGCAATGATTTTCGCGTTCCGGGTTGCGAAAACTATTGCGAACGTTCGCGCGAAATTTGTGTTTTGCATGTTTTTCGCTCCCAGGAATTTTCGCGTGCACTCGCTTGTTTGAGAAGTGGTCTTCAAACTCTTCATCCGATTATTTTGTTGTTGCGAGTGACGGCACCCTGAGTCATGACCTGAGACGAGAGCTCTTTGACTACCTTGTCCATGGCCGGAGACTCACAGACAAACGGGTTGGCTTGTGCCGTAATCTGGCGCATCAACACCTGAAATTCAAAAAGGCATCGCGCGTTGATGTAACCGACTCTGAGCAGTGAGAAGAC